AATATATTTTTAGTAATATTTAAAACAAATTATTTTTATATATTAAAATATTTCCTTTAATCTTACCGACCCCTATTTGTATTTATTTATCATTTTGTAACTTTATATCTTACTTTTTTTTTTTTACTTTATCTTTAGCAGTGTGACCTTTTTAACTTTATAAATGTGAGTGTATTTCCTTTTCCAAACTTTCTTGAAATTATATTTGTATTATTATTATTTTTATTTTTTTTTACTCTGAGGCTTACATCGCTAACATCGGAAATCTGGGTTTGTTGCATTTATGGCATGGCATGAAATACAACAATGACCCCTGCAGGTAATGTAATGAATTACAGTGTGTCACATGGCGATGCAGTGAAAATGGCAGCCACATAAAATAACATATAACACTATATTAGGATAACATGCTTTGCATGGAAGGACTAGATGGAATAGATATTGGCTTGGCTTCATTCAGAGGTCAGACTAATAGCTGCTAATTTTACATTGCTTATTTACTTTGAATGTCATGACAGAAGCTCTTTTACAACAGTCAACGTGTAATTTCAACTTCCATCAATCATGCTGCAGAAAATTCATGTTCTCCAACAGAAATAGGTTTCGGTGTTCTATTCCATCTAATTCTGTGACTTGTACTTACTGCAATCTGAAAGTAAGTGATCCAGAAACTTAAAACAAGGCCAGCTTCAAAAAACATGGAAAACTCCATTACCCACAGATCGCCCTCTTAGACTGGGATCAAACACACAAAACAAGAGCCTGCATTCAGTGCATATAAATTGATGCTGATTCGCTTTTTTATTCCCTCTAGTTCTGTTCTTTTGTCTCTTGTGTGTGTTTAAGTGTGTGGATGGCAGATCACACAGCAAGTTAGATCAAAGCTCCCTCTGATGCAGTAACAAGAACTCAAGAGACTCAGCACACACACACACACACACACACATACACATACAATGTTAATGCAGAGCTAGAAGCGAATCATGACAGGACCACAGTTTTCCAACTTCTATAATGGAAAACACTCCACAGGGATCATGCGTGTAGGTGTGTGTGTTTGCTCCATTTGGCAGATAAGTTTTCCTGTTCCATTCTGTTAAGCTCAGCAGAATGTTGTGTAACCCAGAATACTCATTGACTTGGCTCAGTTTCTCTCTCTCTCTCTCTCTCTCTCTCTCTCACACACACACACACACGTACGTATAAATAGGGAGTTTCCACTTAAGAAAACTTTATGCTAACTAAACCATATAGCTTCTGCAGCACCTACTGTTTTACACCAGTCCTGAGGATCACTAAAGATTTCACAACTTCTGCAATGTTTAGCTTAAAAACGGCTCACTCTTGGATGGACGTTCTGCAGTCATTAGTCATCAGAAAGTAAGATCCCTTAGGCACCCTATGTTCAGTGTCTGCAACAGTTCCAGCCTCACAGATTCACGACTCCTATGTGTGTGGAAGTTAGTTAACCTCATTCTACAGTCAGGTACAGACTAATTATGTTCATATCCAACTATCAGTCACCGCACAGTGGCCTATCAATCGTCCAGAACACCTTAGCACAATAACAGTTCTCTAGCAAACATGCAGATCTATTAAAGCTTGTCTTGATGAACTTTCCTATTGTTTTACATCAATGTTTAAATAAAGCAAGCCACAACAACAGGGTCAAATTCTAAACTTATGATCTTTTTTCTCTCATATGCAACAAGCTAGCTCACTTAAAAGATTTTTGTAAATTAGAGCTACTGATTTATCACGTTAGTCAAAACAATTAGTTCAGACAGTTTGAATAATTCACGTTTGAGTATGTGGGTATTTTACAACACATAAAAGCACATGAAATTCACTGATATTAGTTCTCAAGTCAGGACAGTGTCTTAATCTTGTAACATGTGTTCATGTTTTAGCCAGCATGAGTCTGTGTTTGTGTTCACAAGGCCATAAAATACACAAACACAAATAGCCACCCAGTCTTTGTGAATAAACAATGTACAGCATTTGAGGTAATTCACCGAAACGTTGTAAAACGTCATTTATTTTACTGACGTTTAGTTTACACATGCAAATAAAGCCAATATGTGAGTCTGACGATCTGTTGTACTCGTAAATTGGATCTCCAGTGCATTTACAAATTGATGTCTGGACCACAACCACAACCTAAAACCCAATGACATGAGCCACAACCTCACACAGTCAACATTTTACTGTCGTATTTCCAGTCGTGATTAACTCTAACAGTCCTCGAAATGAAGATGAATTGGTAATTTAGCAATTAGTTCACACAACCACAACAACACATGCATCTCTGCAGCTTCTTGAATTGTGTTTCCAGCAGCACAGGACGTTCACGTGTCTGAGCGAGTCCAAGCAAGGCTCTTTGCTTTTTTGAATGAATTCTCTAAACAAAAAAAATCTTGGAGAGAGAAACCAAAAGTTTGAAGGGATTTATTTTGCTTCTGCTGGAATATAAACAATGTTTTCTGGAAGCAAAGTGTAATTTTTGTTCTTACTAATATACACAAAATACTCCAAAATGAGCCCCCTTACCAGCCTGATACAAACATAAACCAGATTAAAATGCTACAAACACCTCCGTGTTGATTTTAAGATTTTTCTCTTTGTTTTTAAAGCTTTACATGGTTGTGCTCCCCAGTATATTTGTAATCTCCTCATTCCGCATTCCACTTCTAGATCTCTTCGGTCATCTAGTCATTTTCGGTCATCTATTTCCTCTCTCAGTCCCTCGTTCACATTTTACAGACTCTGGAACAGTCTTCCCCTCCACATAAGATCTTCCCCTTCTATTTCTATGTTTAAATCCTCTTTGAAAACCCATTTTTATTCTGTATGTTTTAATTCTGTTTGAGGGTGTAAAATTGTATTTGTCCCTTTGTTTGTCTTGATTGGGTATGTTTTTTACTTTGTTTTATATTTGTTGTACAGCACTTTGCTTGCAACTCCTGTTGATTTTAAATGTGCTTTATAAATAAATAAACTAAACTAAACTAAAAGAGCTTATGATTTAGCTGAATATGTGATATGAGGCTGCATACACATCAGGCATCAAGCAGCCATATCTGGCAATGGAAATGTGGACATAGCCTCCAGCTCTGAACACAAAAAGATGTTTTTCCCCCTAAAATGTGAAAAATATCAAAACATCAGAGTCATATTTCCAAAAATCTGATCCAGACCCCATGCTAACTGAAAATGAAAAAATAAAAATCATTCTGGCAGAGGTAGACATAGCTATGTAGCAGTGTGACAAAGCCTGGGGGACAGCACAACACCAGCATATTAACATGCCTGATGATTTATTACTAGTTGATCCAGATTTTGCATGCAGAATTTCTGTAATGTAAATCCAATGTCACTGTATCAAATTATGATGATTAATATTTCATTCTGTTGACTTGAGTAAGCAATTTATTTGAGATGCGAGATTTGACTTGGCCTCCAAATGACTCAACAACACAAGCAAGAAGAAATATTATCCTCTTAAGTAGGCACTTAAAAATTATTATATGTACAGTCCCTATCTTGCTAACTTAGAGGATAATGAGGAAACTGATAATTTATGAATGTGTGAGGAAATTATTCAAATATCATACACTCTCAATGAATGAGAAATAATAGCTATATAACTATATATAGCTATTATATAGCTATATATAGCTATAAGATTGGACATGTCTGCTTCTTTGGAAATATTGCAAATTCTGACAGTCATCCCAGCGCTTTGTTGAGACACACTGCTGACCAACTTCCAGAAGACGTTACATTATTTATGTCATTAATCACAGACTCTTTAAAGACGATGCATTCAAAAGATGTGTCAGACTCAACAGTATTGAGCAGATCGTCCGGGAGCGCAGTGTCCTAGTGGTGACAAGTCATCAGTGCCTTTCATATGAAAGAGTTCAGTGTATTTTCCCTGGATTTAGGGAATTTACCCCCTTCAACCCCCCCCCCCCCCAAACAGCCCCAAAAGCGTCCACGTAAACACTCTGAGCTCTGTTGTAATATAACCTACTGTGCCTAATACAGGACAGCTAGCAGAAACAGCATGGGAAAACTCATAGGCGCACAAACACTTTATTCATTCTGGTGTTTGTTTAACTCTGCATAAGTTTAATCAGTCTTGCTCAACAAACACATTTTGACTTATCAAAGCTCACAGCGCGAGACTCAACAGGAACCGTTTGGATGGGTCTCTTACCGTCATACGCGAAACTCCCGGACAGCTGAAGTCCCACTAGCATACACACACACATCCAGTTGTCCATCTTTAGGAAGTCCAGGAGCTGCTGGGACACCTCGGGTGCATTCCTAGGCGAGAATCAAGAGCTCAAAGCCCGATCCCGCCTCCTCTCCAGAAATACGAGAGCTCTTCATCCAGCGCGAGCGTGCGCACAGAACGGCGCGTGGACAGTTGGCTCTACATGGATAAACTGTGTATGGCACTGTTATGAGTGTTTATTACAGCGACACCAAAAAGTAGACTAAAAGTGGGACACTGAATTCACAGCTAAATTGCCTTTGTATTATTCATGATTTACTTTTGGAGATCAATTCAGAATTCTTCTTGTAGGAGTTTTTTGGTTCAAATTATGACAGAAATTCCATCAGGATTTCTTTAGAATTTGAGATTTAGGTAGAGTGTAATAGTTTAATCCATGTAAGAGCCTTATAGGCCTACAGCTAAACACCTCAAAATCCAGAGTGAGAGGACATTGTAGGCCTACTTCATCATTTCTTCACTAAAGAAACCAACACACTTTTTCTTTTCTTTAGCAACAGCTCTTGAGAGCAAAATCTTATTAACTTTACAGTTAAATCATAGTATGTAGGTGCGTGACTGTCTGTTCTCTTGCCCTTTTAAATTGCAGTAATCATGTACAGTAAGTCTGGTATGCTGTTAATGACAGACCAGGTCTTGCAAAAGGAATGTCAATAGAACAGTAACAAAAAAATTTCACCAAAGCAGTGGTTTATTACTTTGTGTACACAGAAATAAATACTTCACGCATTTGCGCTTGAAAATTAACATTCATATAAACACTATGACAATATATAACTGAATATGATTGGAATCATTTCAGTCAAGGCACTTGATATTCAAGAATCCCCATAAAGACATAAGTAACAACCAGCCCTTTAAAGGATGTATATTATACTAAATCAGAATACAATACGTTAACTTCTCCAACATCCATCAACCACATTATGTGTTTCCCTGTTTAAAGAACTGATCCACAACACTTTTCAAATGTCAAGGCCTGTGAACTCTCCATATATAGGCAGATGTTCAGGGTGGTCTCTGTGTTTGTACTGTCGCTGCACACTTTGGGATCATTTAAGGTTAAGATACTGTGGTAGGACATTGTTCCAGAACTGAGGGTCCTGAGCACCACTATCTGTTTGCCCTTTAACATTCTGTTGATGCCTTTGTCTAGTCTTCTGTCTGTCTCTCTGTGCATTTGTCTGTCTGCGCGGAGGTAACGCATCTGGTTTGGCTCTCTGCTTTGGTACTTTTTTGTTTTTTTCTTCCTCTTCCTCCTCACCTTCTTGTTCTTCCCCTTCCTCCTCCTCTTCATCAGTCTCTTCTTCCTGTTCTTCTTCCTCTTCACTAGTTTCTCTCTGTTTCCTCTCATTTTTCTCAGTTTTTATATTCTCTTCTTTCCGCTCCGTTTCTTCCTCCTCCTCTTCCTCACCCTCTTCTTCCTCATCGCTTCCATGTTTATCTTTTTTATTATTCTTTTCTTTATGCTCTGTTTCTTTTTCCTCCTCTTCCTCTTCATCACCTTCACTCTGTTCTTCTTCCTCTTCACTAGTTTCTATTTTTATATTATTTTCTTTCTGCTCTATTTCCTCCTCCTCCTCCTCCTCCTCCTCACTCTCTTCTTCCTGTTCTTCTTCCTCTTCACTAGATTCTCTCTGTTTCCTCCTGTTTTTCTCTGTTTTTATATTATTTTCTTCCTGCTCAGTTTCTTCCTCCTCTTCCTCACTCTCTTCTTCCTCTTCCTCTTCACTAGTTTCTCTCGGTTTCCTCCTGTTTTTCTCTGTTTTTATATTCTTTACTTCCTGCTCAGTTTCTTCCTCCTCTTCCTCACTCTCTTCTTCACTCTCTTCTTCCTCTTCACTACTTTCTCTTGGTTTCCTCCTGTTTTTATCTGTTTTTATATTCTTTTCTTCCTGCTCAGTTTCTTCCTCCTCTTCCTCACTCTCTTCTTCCTCTTCCTCTTCACTAGTTTCTCTCGGTTTCCTCCTGTTTTTCTCTGTTTTTATATTCTTTACTTCCTGCTCAGTTTCTTCCTCCTCTTCCTCACTCTCTTCTTCCTCTTCCTCTTCCTCTTCACTAGTTTCTCTCTGTTTCCTTCTGTTTTTCTTTGGTTTTATATTCTTATTTTTCTGTTCTGTTTCTTCCTCCTCCTCTTCTTCTTCTTTTACTTCTTCACCTCCCTCCTCTTCTTCTTCATTAGTTTCTCTCTGTTTCCTCTGACTTCTCTCTGTTGTTTTATTCTCTTCCTTCTGGTCTATTTCTTCATCTTCTGCTTCTTCTTCATGTCCATTTTCTTCCTCCATTTCATTCAGTTTGTCTGTCTCATCATCTTCATCTCCTCTCTCTGTTTCCTGTGTCTCTAAAATGTCAAGATTCTCTTCTTCTCTAAACTTCTCTTCAGCTGTATCCATTTCCCCTTCTTTTTTGTCCTCTTCTTTTTCTCCGTCCTCTTCCTCAATCTGTTCTTTCCCTTCTTGTTTTTCTCTGTCTCCATCTCCATCTGTCTCTGACATTTTTTCCTCATCTTCAGCTTCCACCTCATTCTGTCGCTCTTCTCTTTCTCTCACACTCTCCTCTTCTTCACTCTGGTTTGTGACCCCATCTTTCTTGTCTTTCAGTTCTTCATTATTTTCCTCTTCATCCACCCCCTCTTCCTCTTCGTTATTCTCTTCTTCCTCTTCCTCTTCTTTTGCCTGATCTCTGCTTTCCTCCTCCTCTTCATGATCACTCTCTTCTTCTTGATTTTCCTCCTCATCTTCATTTCCTACCTCATCCTCTTCTTCACTCTCTTCTTCCCCCTTTTCTTCCTGTTCTCCCTCCCCTTCCACTTTCTCATTCTCTTCCTCACTCTCATCCTTTTCTTCACTCTCTCCTTTCTCTTCATCTGACCTCTCATTCTTTTTATCATTGTCGCTTTCAGATTGTTCATCAGTTTTCTCCTCATTACTGCTCTCTCCTTCCTGCTCCTCCTCTGCATCTGTTTTCTCCTCGTCTTCCACCTCTCTCTCACTCCCCTCATCCCAGCTCTCCCTCTCCTCTTCCTTGTCATCACCAGCACTCTCTTCATCTTCTTCCTCCTTTTCATCAGTTTCTCCTTCCTCACTCTCCTCTTTCTCTTGTCCCTCACTCTGCTCTCCTTCTTCTCTTTCAGTCTCATCTCCACTTTCTTCCCCTTTACTCATCTCTCCCTCACTTTTGCTGCTCTGTCCGCTATTGCTGTCATCCTCTTCCTTTCTGGATGTCTCCTCTTCTTCATTTTCCTCCTCTCCCTGTTGAGCACTCTCTCCTCTACCTTCATAACTCTTACTCTCTCTTTCTTCTTCATCTTCAACAGCACTGTTCTCCTCTTCCTGCCCAACCTCCTGAAGTTCATCTTCTTCCTCAGCGAGTCTCTCTTTTTCACCTCCCTCTTCCTTTCTCTCTGTCTCACTATACTTCACATGTTCCTCTTCCTCTATTTTTCCATCACCACTCACCCACATTTCGTTTTCATTTGAAACTAGCATATTTTGTTCATCTTGTGCACTCTGCTGTCTGATTATGCTGTCATCCCTTTCCTTAATTGCTGATACAACCTGAACTGTGCTGTCCTGGTCCACTTCCTGTTCTAGCAGGATATTGCTTCCTGATGCTTCCTTGGACATTGATGCATGTGAGGACATCTCAATACTTGGTTCTGGTTGGGTTTCAGAAAGAACTTTGGCTGCTTTTATCAGTAGTGGTGCAGCACTTGCTATAGCCATGGCTGGTAGTGATGAAACTACACTACCCATAATGCTCTGCTCAGCCTGTGGCTTCCTGTCTGGCTCTTTAGGTTCAACTGTTTTTCTGGCAAATTTATTTTCTTTTAGTGGTGACTGCTTGTGTTGTGGTGATGAACTTGATGGACTTAATAATTTACCAGATGATGATTTGGTTTTTTTGGTGGCAGAAGATTTATTGGTTGCTGATTGGTTTTTGGACCATAAACTGGAAAATGAGTGGCCTCTTTCTGGAGCTAAACTTTTAATAGATGGAAATTCATGCTTCTGTTCAGTAAACACTTTATCAGTGGGCGAGTGCAAGTTGGAAGCTGATTGGCTTTTTTCTGCAGTTCCTCCTGATTTTTGTTTTTTTATTGGGGGAAATGATATATCAGAGTTCTGAGGTATTTTACTATCATTTTCCCTTTTGATTTCTATTTTTTCTTGTGCTGGCATTGCATGTTTAAGCTGGAAGTTTGAGTTCTTAGACTCCACAGGTTTTCCCTTTTTTGCTTTAGATATTCGTGTGGGTATAGAAACTGAGAGAGGACTGGGTGTTGGTGCTATCGGGGCTCTTTCCACATCTGATCTCTTCTTTTTTGCTTTCTTTGGTGTAAATTCACTTGGGCTTTCTTCTGTGTCAACATCATTCTTTTCTTTTCCTTTTTTTGGGGTGCTTTGCATTTTAGCTGGAATCTTGACTGATGTTGAGTTTCCCTGTTCCTGTGTGTTGATCAGTGTTGATCTGACCTCTTGGGCATTTCCAAGGGATGGCTTGATGCCTCTTTGAGCATCTGCCTGGGGTGTTGATTCAACTTTGCTAACCTCTATGGCGCCGGAGGGCATGTTTTGAACCTTGACTGGCGACTGGACCCTTTTTGTAGTTCCTACTGGAATACCCATCTCTTTGATTTTGGGAGATTTCACCTCTTGAACTTTTGTGGGCGTTGTTCTAACTTGTTCAACTTCCTGAACTGGAGAACTTCTGGAGAAAGTCTTTTGAATTTCAATTGGACTTGATTTGGTCTTCCTCTTCATCTCAGCAAGAGCAGTGACCTCTTGACCTCTGGAATCTGCATGTTGAACTTTACTATATTTGTCTGCTTTTGAAATGTTGTCCCTTTGATCAATATTAGTACTGCATGTTTCACTGCTTCCCTCCTTTTCCTTATCTGACATTCTATCTGAAGATAATCTGACCTCTACTGCTTGACTTTTAGATTTATTATTTGTACTCTGGATAGTTTTCTTGTATGTTTTGGATTGCATTTTGCTTTGTGATGCTGTAACAGAAGAATGTTCCTCCGCCATGGCAGGGTTCTTTGGATCTCCGGACCTGGGCTTCTTGTTTTTTAGGTTTCTTGATGGTGGAGATTCTGTCACTGATGAATGAGAAACAGAACTAGCCTGTACTTTGGTGGGTGGAGCCTTTTGAGGTATATTCTCCACCATCCCAGAATGCTTATTCTCTTCATGTGTCTGTCAAATCAAACATTACACCCTTTAATTATACAATATACATTAAACTCAATTATACATATTATAAATAGTTTTTCAAAAATTAATTTTGTCATCTTGAGCACAGTGACAGCTTTTGTGCACCTTGTCCGATATGCTGTTTTCAGATGTTCCAACACTATGGCAGTCCTCTTCATTCTTTGTGATCTGTGTGACTATATTCACAAGAAAGACAGCTGGTCATTACTGACAACCATGTTTTTTACTGGTGTTTTGGATCATTTACAGCTATATTTAGTGAATACATAATTGCGGTAAGCGATATATGAATCATAGATAGCTAATAAATGGATAAAGAGAGGTCTTGGGAGAGCATACAAAATTGGAAAATAAGAAAATATTTACGTGGCGTTGTCCTGGCAGGCAGTGTGATTGAGGTAGAAGCAGATTCCACAAAGGCTTCAGTTCTGAAGCGTTTAGGAGTGTCTGTCGGAGATCTGGGTTGTAAGATGTTGCCTGTCAGGGCCAGTGCAGTAAAGCCAGTTGTAGGAGGAGGAAGATTGCAAAATTCTGGGCCAAACTGTGCAGATGAGCTCTCCTGAAACGCACACACACACAAAACATATTTTCACACTCTCAGTAGTTTATTTTCTATTCAGAATGTCACATACAATTATATAATATTGTCATACTTTTGCACATATAATTTAATAATTTAAATATACAGCTTGACTTGAAATAACACATAAAAGTGTTCTGTATTTACCTTGATGTTTCTTTGTTTTCATTACCCATCACATGTCTCATATTTCATCATGCTGGTAAAGTAGTACACTAACTATATGAAAATAACTTTATTTTCAACTTTATATATATATATTATATATTTTAACTTTAATATATATACACATCATTTTCACACAATAAAATATTAAATTGATGTTATTTCACTCTTTAGATGATCATACTTTTAAAATGATGAATATTTTACAATATAATTTTATAATAATTCATTTTTATGATGGATTTTTCTTATTTTAAGATTGAAAATCTGGGTCAGGAAAAGGATAAAAGAATAAAATATATTCATATATGGCACAGAAATAAGTTTCCAAGCCAGTTTTAATGTGACCCTCATATAACAGAGAAAGTGTAGAGATCTGTTATTTTTAGTTTTAAAAAAATCAACCCGTTACATGCCCAAAGCTAAAGAAACGCCCTTATACATCTCCCTTTTGCAGTGCATAGATGGCCATAGTACCTACATAGAACACAAGAAGTCTAACACCTAACTTGTTTAACTCAAGTGGTCAGTTTCTTACCTTCTGTCTTCGTCTGGCACGTGTTGATAGGCTCCAGCGGTGAGAAGTTGGAAGAGATGAGGGGAGAAAGGTGGGTTGCGAGACTAGAGCATGTGCTGAGTCTGGAATATGCTCTAAAGGTTGCCCCTGTAACATTGAGGTGTAACACCTGTCCAGGTAAGAGTAGGTAACATCTTCATCCTCTAAACAAACTTCTTCACTTTCCTGTTGCCGTGGCCGTGCGAACACTAGCATGTGACTGGAACCACATGCCACCTACAGCACAAATGCACAAATATAATAAACACAGCACTTAGTAACTACAAAAATACACCGTTTCATGTGGTATTTCCTTAGATTAACATACATAGGAAAACATGAACATGATAAGCAAGTATCAGAGAACTCACAGTCATGACAGAGTAATCCAAGAACCTCTGGCATACAGTTGGACTGAACTGATTGGTGAAGTTCTCATCTCCAAGGCCCAACTTCCCATGACGGCCATCTCCAAATGTGTAGAGAAGACCACTGTCTTAAGCAAAAAACAGAGAACTATATAACTATATAATCCATAAATGTATATATAACCTATATAAATTATATGTAAATTTTTTTGAAACTGTTAAATGTGAACTAAAATAATGGAATGTGTATGAAATGACTACAAAAGTAGGAAAGGTGACGAAAGGAGGAGCTGGGGATGGAGAAGGGTAATTTGCTCCTGAGAAAGCGATAAAGCTGCTGAATAATACTGAATAGGCCTTATATAGGAATGTCATGATAGGTATTGTGGATCAGTTGAGACTCAGTCGATGCAAGCCTGACTCACGTGACCTGCCAGAACTAGCACTTGATTTATGACTTGATGCTTGATTTATTTGCATACCACTTACACTTACCACATACCACTTATTAAAAACTGAATGCACCACATTTTAAAATGTATGACAATATATTTAGATGCAAATTTAAGTAAATACTATATTTTAGGTTAATCACTTTAATAAAAAATGAATTAACTGATAATCACAGTTAATTATTTTAATCCTCTGACAGCTCTAATTTAACAGTATGTATATTTTACCTGTTATTAGTGCACTGTGGTTTTCACCACATGTGACATGAGTGACCCTGCCTTTCCTGAAGTGGCCAACAGCAACAGGTGTGTCTGCTAAAAACATAAGTGTCCCCAACCCCAACTGCCCAAACTCCCCACGGCCAAAAGAATATAACTCATCCTCTACAGGAAAGAGAGTTAAAAACATAATTAGCATCCAAACAAACAATGAGAGAAAAAAGGGAAAGAAAGACAAGCACAGAAATAAGTTTCCAAGCCAGTTTTAATGTGACCCTCATATAACAGAGAAAGTGTAGAGATCTGTTATTTTTAGTTTTAAAAAAATCAACCCGTTACATGCCCAAAGCTAAAGAAACGCCCTTATACATCTCCCTTTTGCAGTGCATAGATGGCCATAGTACCTACATAGAACACAAGAAGTCTAACACCTAACTTGTTTAACTCAAGTGGTCAGTTTCTTACCTTCTGTCTTCGTCTGGCACGTGTTGATAGGCTCCAGCGGTGAGAAGTTGGAAGAGATGAGGGGAGAAAGGTGGGTTGCGAGACTAGAGCATGTGCTGGGTCTGGAATATGCTCTAAAGGTTGCCCCTGTAACATTGAGGTGTAACACCTGTCCAGGTAAGAGTAGGTAACATCTTCATCCTCTAAACAAACTTCTTCACTTTCCTGTTGCCGTGGCCGTTCGAACACTAGCATGTGACTGGAACCACATGCCACCTACAGCACAAATGCACAAATATAATAAACACAGCACTTAGTAACTACAAAAATACACCGTTTCATGTGGTATTTCCTTAGATTAACATACATAGGAAAACATGAACATGATAAGCAAGTATCAGAGAACTCACAGTCATGACAGAGTAATCCAAGAACCTCTGGCATACAGTTGGACTGAACTGATTGGTGAAGTTCTCATCTCCAAGGCCCAACTTCCCATGACGGCCATCTCCAAATGTGTAGAGAAGACCACTGTCTTAAGCAAAAAACAGAGAACTATATAACTATATAATCCATAAATGTATATATAACCTATATAAATTATATGTAAATTTTTTTGAAACTGTTAAATGTGAACTAAAATAATGGAATGTGTATGAAATGACTACAAAAGTAGGAAAGGTGACGAAAGGAGGAGCTGGGGATGGAGAAGGGTAATTTGCTCCTGAGAAAGCGATAAAGCTGCTGAATAATACTGAATAGGCCTTATATAGGAATGTCATGATAGGTATTGTGGATCAGTTGAGACTCAGTCGATGCAAGCCTGACTCACGTGACCTGCCAGAACTAGCACTTGATTTATGACTTGATGCTTGATTTATTTGCATACCACTTACACTTACCACATACCACTTATTAAAAACTGAATGCACCACATTTTAAAATGTATGACAATATATTTAGATGCAAATTTAAGTAAATACTATATTTTAGGTTAATCACTTTAATAAAAAATGAATTAACTGATAATCACAGTTAATTATTTTAATCCTCTGACAGCTCTAATTTAACAGTATGTATATTTTACCTGTTATTAGTGCACTGTGGTTTTCACCACATGTGACATGAGTGACCCTGCCTTTCCTGAAGTGGCCAACAGCAACAGGTGTGTCTGCTAAAAACATAAGTGTCCCCAACCCCAACTGCCCAAACTCCCCACGGCCAAAAGAATATAACTCATCCTCTACAGGAAAGAGAGTTAAAAACATAATTAGCATCCAAACAAACAATGAGAGAAAAAAGGGAAAGAAAGACAATTGTAAGTGTATGATATCATATGGTGTGCATTCAGTGTCCTCAAGATGTATTTGGAAACTTATTTGCATTTGTCACTGCATTAGATAACAACATATCAAGGTTTTGATTTCAGTTTTAAATGCCTCTTGGTTTGATATTTTGTTATCTAGTGGATAATAAAATGTATTTGATGGATTGAAATTCATGCAGTTGAAGTGTCCAAATGTTTGTAGGACACTGTTGTGTATATTTCCATCACCTGTAAGGGCTAGCGTGTGCTTGCCTCCACATGCCACCTGCAGAACCCCGTGCAGAGATTCTACTCGCTGAGGTTGACTGTGGTTGGCCAGCTGATGAGCAGAAAGACCCAGTCGTCCGTCTGCACTCTCCCCGAAAGTGAAAACATCCCCATTATCTGAAACATACCAAATTCCCTACAATTTATTTAGCCAGGTGCTAAACTGCTTCCTCAAAAATAAATAACAGCATGGTTTTCATGTTCATGTTTGTGAATAGTGTTGATTGACAAGCGCTCACCTGTGACCAGAGCTGAGTGTCTATATCCACATGAGACCCACTGAATGGACTGTCCCAGTTTCAGCTCTTTAGGCAATAAGGCATGACTGTCTTTCACCAAACCAAGCTGACCAACAGAGTTATCACCCCACAGAAACAGCCTGCCATCCTCTAAAAAAATTACAGATTTATTATTTAAATCCATATCAATTATCAATGCATTTGTATTTACAATAGTAGGTTTATATCTAGTATAGAAAATAATCAGTTGCATATCATTGTTACCTGTAAGTGCAGCAGAGGTGTGGCCACCTGCAGAGAGCAATTTGATTGGAGCATAGTCACAAAAGGGGTGGAGCCGCCGGAAAGAAACGCTGTCATTACAGTGGCCCAATCCCAGCTGTCCATCACTGTTTCCTCCAGCTGCAAAAATTTCCCCTTGTGCTGGAGAAACCCCACAGATATATTCACTTACCTTCTTCATCTTACTCGCAATTCTGTGATAAACTGCTATTATTCAAAAGATAGGGGTCAGTAAGACTTTTTTATTTTAGAAATTAATCTTTTTATTCAGCAAGCACTCATTAAATTGATTAAAAGTGACAGTAAAGACATTAATAATGTTACAAAAGTTTTGTACTCCAGCTTTACATACAGGTGCTTACGAGTGTGTGATCAGTCCCGCAGGCAACAAACTGAGCTCTCTCCCCTTTAAGAACTGGGTAGACAAATAAAAAGATGAATAAGAAAACCGAGTGTGATCTTTATAAAACAGCACGCATACATGTCTGTCTCACCTTTAACACAGGTTGGTTTATTCACCGGTCCTTTGGTTTGAAGACCAAGCTGACCTCTGTTATTATTTCCAAACACAAACAAACGGCCCTGCTCTGAAAAGAGATAATTAAAGAGACTTTTATTACAAAATATAGCTACAGTTACAAAATGACAAGGTGAATATAGAGAGATTACAACCTGTTACAAAGGCAGAGTGTGACTGTCCACATGAGATGTGCACAGGTATATCATTCTTTAGCCATAACCTGCTGGGTACGTTGTTTGCTATTTTACTCTTTCCAAAGGTGAATACAGCACCTGTTTCTGCAATAAGGAAACATATAAGTTCAGCACAACATATGCCCTCAGTAACAGTTGTTCACATGGAGTAAAGAGCAAGCCTCCACACGCTCAGCAAGATGGTCTGTTTAAATCCTTAGAAAGCTTCCAGCTTCCCAGAATAGCCTATGTGGGTAATGCTCTAGGAGCTCAAAGACATGATTATGGTGTCACATACTGTGAGTCTTACAAGCACGTGTTTGTAAAATACACATACTTACATAGACAGATAACTAGACAGACAGACAGACAGACAGACAGACAGACAGACAGACAGACAGACAGATAGATAGACAGACAGATAGACAGACAGATAACTAGACAGACAGACAGACAGACAGACAGACAGATAGACAGACAGACAGACAGACAGATAACTAGACAGACAGACAGACAGACAGATAACCAGACAGACAGATAGACAGACAGACAGATAGATAGATAGATAGACAGACAGACAGACAGA